AGATGGGCCAGACATGCCCTGGAGCCAACCTCCCTTGGACCCTCCCTGGCTGGCCGCACCTGGCTCCGTGCCTGGGGTGGCGCCGTGGCTCAAAGGACATCTGCGAGTTAGCGGGATCCTCTGGCAGGGGGGGTCTGTCAGTCTGGCCTGCGGGGATCTGGCCAAAACTGGCTCTCCAATATCCCCTGAAGGGTCTTGGAGTGCAAGAGGGCACTCTGCAAAGTTGCTGTTGTACAGGGTGTGGAAAACAAACGCAAGTGTGCAGTAAACCACATTCGGGGCTGATAGTGCCCCAGCAACAACATAACCCACGGCTGAAGGTGGAATTGCGTGGCCCTGAGAGGAATCGGGCTCCCTCCTCTCTGGTTTTGGGCCACGTCACCCAAGAACTGCCGGTGCCAAGTCACTGCAGCTCTGCAGCTCCTGCATTGAGCATCTGCCCCCTGGTGGTCAGTGCGTGTCATAGTGACCAGTTGGACGGTTGGACACTTAGCATATTAGCCTTTTATATACAGTCAGTCCTCGGGTTATGTCGGACTCAATGTACATCATTTTGTGATTAAGTTGCCATTTCCCATTTATTTATTAAAAAAAAAAGTTCCATCATTTCGACATATGTATATATGTGCTTTATGTTTTTTATTATTTATTGTTTTACCACAAGTAAAGGTCAGGAATTGTTATCTTTCTTTTAAATTTTTTTTACTGTTTCACTTCATTACTGCTGTGTATGTGCTCCATGTGAGTGACATAGGTGCTTATGTAGGTGGGTTCCGATCTCTGACGTAACCCGAGGACCTACTGTATATATTTTGGATCCTAGGTCCTTATGAAACATGATTTGCAAATATTTTCTCCCATTGTGTGTGGGTTGTTTTTTCCCCCTTTTTTTTCTTCTTTCTGTTTAGTCATTTAATATAAGAGGAGGTCACAAATAAATCCTCCCTCTTTAGATCATGGCAATTTTAATCTGTCCCATAAGCATAGCCACTAAAATCTATTAGGAGAAAATATGGTAGTCAAATGGGAAAATCTTTTCACTTTCTTGAAAGTGTTCCTTGATGCACAAAAGTTTTTAATATTGATGAAGTCTCTAGAATTCTAGTTGCTGCATGAAAGGGAGATAACACTGGAGTTTGGCTTTGTATTTTTGTGGTTGTTGTTAATCCTCACCCTAAGATGTTTTTCCATTGATTTTTTTTTAGAGAGAGTGGAAGGGAGGGGGAAAGACAGAGAGAGAGAAACATCCATGTGAGAGAGACACATCGATTGGTTGCCTCCCACACGCACCCTGACCAAGGCCAGGGATCAAGCTGGCAACCATGGTACGTGCCCTTGACTGGAATCAAAACCAGGACCCTTCAATCTTGACTCAGTCCTTGGCACTATCCACTGAGTCAAACCGGCTAGGGCACTATTTAAATTTTTAATAGATACATGTGTACTCTAAAAGTTTATACTCTCGTCACTAAATATGTGTGCCTTTTTTCCATACCTTCACACATACCGTATATTAGTCGTCCTGTTTTCTGTTTTTTGACAATTTGGCAAGTGAGGTATCTTATTTTAATATGCATTTTTCACTATTAACATTTTTACCACTTATTTACATAATTATTTTTAAATTTTTAATTGATTCTAGAGAGAGAAAGGGAGAGAGAGAGAAATATCAGTTGGTTGCCTCCAACAGGCACCCTGACCAAGGAATAAATTCACAACCTGGGTATGTTCCCTGACTGGGAATTGAACCCATAACCCTTTGAAGCATGGGATGATGCTCCAAACAACTGAGCCACACCGGCCAGTGCTTATTTTCATTATTACATTTGTATTTCTTAAGCCTGCAGTCACTCAGATATATGTTATAGCCTTTGCTTTGTTTTTCTTTTCAATTGTCCACAGCAGATGCTACATTTATGTGCGACAAGCGGTGTAGCAAGAAAAGGTTGTGTGGACGGCATAAATGTAATGAGATATGCTGTGTGGTAAGTGGACTTATCATTAGTCACAGTCAGATTGCATTCATTCAGGAGCTGGGCTTCTGGAAGCCTCGGCCATCTGGAATGCAGCCCAGATTTAGAAATCACTGGAAGGGGCTCCCTGAGCAGGAGTCAGAGAGCTGCCCAATCAAGCTGACCTCAGTCAGGTTAAAATGTCAGTCAGTGGCAACATGGAGGAAGAAAAAGACGAAAGACAGAGGCCTCAGGCCCCAGAGCTCAAGACTGCTAGATGAGCAGTTCTCCACAGGAGATTGTGTGCTGTCTCAGCACACAGACTGGCCTGTGCTTAGTAACTCGGGCTTCAGGTTTCATATACTCCTTGGGTCAAGTTAGTAGGTAAAATGTGTGTGGCATTGTTGAAAGGAGCAAGTTTTAGTTATCTGTAATATTCACTTCTGTGGAACTAAATAAAGAAAACACTTCCTGGCAGTCAGATAACACAGTACCAATAGCAAGGTAATGCACATATACTGGTACATACGTAATACATATATGTGAATGTGTGTATATATAAAAAATACATAATTGTTTTAAATTTTATTGATATGGTGAAGAGTAATAAATTTGTACAGTATATCAAGACTTATTTATAAGCTAGTGTTTGAAGGCTTAAAGACTTCTTGTTATTGAAAATTTCTAACATACACAAAAGTAGAGAAACTATTAGTCCCATATACCCACATCTCCACTAACTCTGCCTCCCCTGATTATTTTGAAGCTAAACTCAGACATCATTTCATTCATAAATATGGAGAGCTTTTATTACTACTTGAGGCCCGGTGCACAAATTCGTGCATGGGTGGGGTCCCTCGGCCTGGCTGCCAATCGGGGCCCATTAGGGCTGGCCTGCGGGGTGGGGGAGGGGGGGCGCGGACCACAGGAGTGCACTGACCACTAGGGGGCAGCTCCTGTGTTGAGCGTCTTCCCCCTGGTGGTCAGTGTGTGTCATAGCAACGGTCGCTTAGGTTTTTATATAAATAATCTATCTATAATTATTATTTATCTTGTTTATGAAAAACAAAACAGAGATAATTTTGTAAACAAATATAATCCTCTTCCTAGGATAAGGAGCACAAATGTCCTTTGATTTGTGGGAGGAAACTTCGTTGTGGCCTTCATAGATGTGAAGAACCTTGTCATCGTGGGAACTGCCAGACATGCTGGCAAGCCAGTGAGTGTCTTCACTGTATACTTTATTATAAGAATTTTCTGGGAATTTAGGCATAATATATTTTGAGAGAATGATATGCTTAGAGTGGTATGAATTACTGAACTAGTAAGTCTTAATATTTCAGATATATTAAGTTTTTTTAAAATGTTATTCCGTGCCCTAGCCAGTTTTTCTCAGTGATTAGAAAGACAGCCTGTAGACCAAAGGGTCCAGAGTTCAATTCTGGTCAAAGGCACATACCTTGGCTGCAGGCTCCTCCCTGGCCCGGGCTGTGATCAGGGCTCGTGCAGGAGGCAACCAATTGATGTGTTTCTCTCACATCGATATTTCTCTCTGTCTTTTTCTCTCTCTTCCACTCTCCCTAAAAAAAAAATCAATGGAAAAATAACCTCAAGTAAAGATTAACCAAAAAAATAATAATAAAAATAAAAAAACTTTAAGAAAAAAAAGTTATTCTTAGTGCTATATTGTCCCTAAATGTATGAAACGTGGGATGTAGGCAATGATCCTAAGATGGAGTCAGGTTCATTAATGGATACCTCTTTTGCTACTTGCTTCTTAAATATTATAGACCCAGGTTCTGTCTTTAGCAATTTTTCTATCAATGATTTTCAACCTTTTTCATTTCATGGCACACATAAGCTAATTACTAAAATTCTGCGTCACACCAAGAAATGTATTATATTTTTTGCCGATCTGACAAAAAATATAGGTATAACTTTGATTGATTTACATACACACAAAAAAGTAGTTACCTACCCTTTTTGCTCCAAAGTGACATTTAAAAAAATCAGGTGCCTATACCTGTTTATAAGAATTTTTGGTACCAACAATTAACCATCAGATGCAACCTTATGCTATGTGACCAATAAGATGCAACTGTATTATTGACCTGTATATTTATGGTCAGGACAGGACATTCACACTGGACAGCTATTGTTGTGTTGGCTGTTGTCATTTTATTATTTGATTATTTGACAATCTAAGGGAAAGGAGGTCAATGCCCCTGACTAAATAGGTATTGCATGTTTTAAAAATTCTTGTAGCACACTGGTTGAAAATACTGCTCTGTATTATTAGCAATAGTTTGCAAACTTTTTGGCCACAGGACTTATTTGCATTCTTAAAAATTATTGAGAACCCTAAAGAACTCTTTTTATGTGAGTTATAGTTATCTATGTTTACCATACGAGGAGCTAAAACGAAGAGATTTTTAAAATATTAACTTCTTTTTTTTTTTTAAATTGTAGTTACCATTGCATGTTAACATAAATAATAATTTTTTAACTATATTTTCAAAAAAATTAGAGTAGATGCTTGATTTAATAGAAGGTAGCCGATTCTCATATCTGCTTCTGTATCAATCTATTGCAATATAGTTGAGGCATATGGAAAAAATCCAGCTTCACACAGTTAGTTGAATAAGTAATTGAGTATTTTAAAACTTTTACAAATAATTGTGGGCATTCTCTTTTGCTATTACACCAAAACTTAACTTCATTTCAGAAAGTACTTAAGTCAATGTTTTTGTTTTTATTCTCGGTCACATTGAAATTCATTGGTTTTTCTTGTATTTTGAATGGATCTTTTACCCATGCGTGACTTCACAATGTCATACATTGATCATTTGGAAAAGAGTTGTTCACTGGGTTATGCATATCTTTGAAGTGTTGACAAATTTTGTGTTACACTGTTAAAAACTCACGACTATAATTATCATCAGAAAACTCTTAGGAAAAGTATTAGCAAATTGTCAAGCTCATCATAGTGGTAATTAAATATTTTCAAATATTCTATTTTTATTCAAAAGCTTGAATTTTATCGTTGGCAGCAAAGTCATTTTTCATAAAGTGACAGGCTCACTTTGTTCATTTTTTATAAACTGTCTGCCAAATACCCAAGTCTGAATAACCATAGTTTGTCAGTCATTGTTTCAAGTAAAAATGGTGTTCTGTGTAAAAAAAAAAAAAAAGTGTGTGTGTGTGGGGGGGTCAGTTGGGAAAAAGGAGACATATGTAAAACTTTAGACAAAAAAAAAAAAGTTACTTTAGCTCACAACCCAGAGAAGTGCAATTCTTCAAAAAACAAAACCCATTTTTTGTTTGTTTGTTTGTTTGTTTGTTTTAAATCCTCACCTAAGGACATGTTTTTATTGATTTTAGAGAGAGGAAAGGAGAGACTCACACACACACACACACACACACACATTGATGTGAGAGAGAACCACCTATTGTGACCCTCCTATACTTCCCCCAACCAGGGATTGAACCTACAACGTAGGTATGTGACCCTGACTGGGAATCAGCCAGCAACCTTTTGGTATATGGAACAATGCTCCAATCAACTGAGCACCTGGCCAGGGCACAACCCGAGTTTTTTGTGTGCAGCAAAAGTGCATTATATGCAGATTCTCCATTTTATTCCACAGAATATTAACATATACATATTCAAGATTCAAGGATGGTTTTTTTTGTTTGTTTTTTTGCTGCTTCATCAAGAACTTTCTTAAGTGAAACTGACATTAAGTACTTGTCAGTGAAAAATACAATGATTACAGTTTGATCCTGCAGCCTTGATTTGCACTAAGGCCCTGGCAGGTTTTTTGTTTTTGCACCAACATAGTAGAAAAAGTAAATAATATCTTAGTATTATTATGAAAATAATTTTGACCTTGTGGACTTATTGAAAGACTCTCAGGGATCCCTAGGGATCAACAGGGCACTTTTAGAACTGCTGCATTAAAAGATTGGCCTAAGCCCAGCCTGGTATGGCTCAGTGGTTGAGCGTTGACCCAGGAACCCACAAGTCACTGGTTCAATTCCCAGTCAGGGCACATGCCTGGGTTGCGGGCTCAGTCGCCGGTAGGGGGGCGTGCAGGAGGCAGCCAATCAATGATTCTCTCTTATCATTGATGTTTCTCTCTCTCTCAGTCCCTCTCCCTTCCTCTCTGAAATCAATAAAATAAAATTAAAAAAAAGATTGGCCTAAGTCAGATTTCCCATAATTATGTCTTCTCTAGAATGCTAGGCTCATCTCATTTCAAAAAGGCATTGAGTCAGTGTTTTGTTACAGATCACACACATGGAGTTCTACAGAAAAACATACATGGCCCCCTTTACCCAGCTATTTCACATATATCAGCTCATCCTCACAATAATTTTGTTGAGTGAATAGGTAAAAGTTTGGTATCCTCATTTGACCAAAAAGCTCAGAGGGACTTGCCCACAGTCCCTGAGCAAATAAATAATAGGTCTAGAACTAGGAGCCTAAGTCTCCTGACTGTATTTACAGGGCTCTTTCTACCACAGTGTCTAACCTTTGAAGGGTTTGCTGGAGAGTGTTGACTAGAAAAGAGCAGTGGTAGATTCTAGAGGTTCCAGCGTTTCCAAACTCTAGTGTCCCAGTTGAGAACCATGATCAAAAGGCCTGGCCTCTATCAAGACCCCGAGTTGGAGAACTGGTTCCCCTTGGGATCTATGGGTTAAGTGGGCTGCTTCTTAGAACTGTCCCGTGTGAGCTCTCATTTTGATTTGGCTTATAACCTGTGCCTAATAAACTCACATGTAGCTCTGTGCTTCATTTCAACTTTATATGTCAAGCACCATCGATGTTGATTATACTATGAAAAATTTTTTTAATTGCTTCAGTGATTCTCTGAGGTTTATATTAAATGTATATTTTTGTATGTTTGTTACTGTGCTCTCATAATCTCTATCATTTTCCTAACCAAAAGAGTTAAAGAGCTGTACCTTTAGTGGAAGTCTCATGTTGTTCTCTCAAAAAGAGATGGCCTATAGATCTATTGTTTATAAAATACATATAACACTGTCTTAAGCTCATGGTCTTAGAGTTCATTGTAGATAAAAATGAAACACTTTATATCTGTCTGCTCCACACTTTTCACAAAATAAAAACTTAAAAAATAAAAAGTAGCCTAGCCCTAGCCAGTTTGGCTCAGTGGATAGAGCATCATCCTATGGACTGAAGGGTCGTTTGATTCCAGTCAAGGGCACGTACCTCGGTTGCAGGCTCCCGGCCCTGGTTGGGGGCATGCGGGAGCAACCAATCGTTGTGTCTCTCTCACATCAGTGTTTTTCTCTCTCTCTCTCCCTCTCCCTTCCACTCTCTTTAAAAATCAATGGAAAAAATATCCTTAGGTGAGGATTTAAAAAAAAAAATAGTAGCCTATTCTCCTCTAGAAATATAAGCCCCCAAAAGAAAAAAAAAGTGTGTGTGTGTGTGTGTGTGTAATATGTGTGTGCTCATCCCAAACTCATGAAGGGTTATTTTGTTTCACCCGCTGCTCCACCAGGTTTTGATGAATTATCCTGCCACTGTGGTGCATCAGTGATCTACCCTCCAGTTCCCTGTGGTACCAGGCCCCCTGTGTGTACCCAAACCTGTGCCAGAGTCCATGATTGTGACCATCCAGGTGGGTCCCATCCCCTTGCCTCCACACCTTCCAGCCTTCTCACACCGTGTCATTTAGAATGTTGCATGATGGTCTTCACTGTTCTGAGGTCATGCTGTGATGGCACCCCTTGCCCCCACAGTTGCTCAGAAGCTGCTTCTGTGAAGATGGGTCTGTGATTGGATGTCAAACACACCTGAAAGGCCAGGAGAAGCCCTCACTGGTCTTGTCTTTCAGGGACATTTTTTTCTTTCCTTGTGACCTCCACTTTTGGTGCATATTTCAAAGTTGAGCATCTTTTTACAAAATTAAAAGTAACGAGTTTTGTTGTTGTTATAGAAGCAATATATGTTTATTATATAAAAAGAAAGAAAAAAGATAAAGTCAAAACATTGAAATATCATTTAAGTCTTCTTTTAGGAATTAAACTTAGTGTGTATTTTGGGGGATCTTTTTTTTTTTTCTTTTTTTAAAATATATTTTATTGGTTTTTTACAGAGAGGAAGGGAGAGGGATAGAGAGTCAGAAACATCGATTGAGAGAGAAACATCGATCAGCTGCCTCCTGCACACCCCCCACTGGGGATATGCCCGCAACCAAGGTACATGCCCTTGACTGGAATCAAGAACCTGGGACCCTTTGGTCCGCAGGCCAACGCTCTATCCACTGAGCCAAACCGGTCAGGGCTGGGAATCTTTTTTCATGGGCAAAATACATATTTGTTTTTTCCCCTTTAAAATAAAGGTGGGATTCTACTGAACTTTCTCTCTCTCTCTTTTTTTTTTTTAACCCTCACCAAGGTTATTTTTTCCCATTGATCTTTAGAGAGAGAGAGTGAAAGGAGGGAGGGAGGGACGGGTAGGAAAAGAGAGAGAGTGTGTGAGAGAGAGAGAGAGAGAGAGAGAGATCGAGAGATCGCTTCCACATGCCCCAACCAGGGCTAGGGATCGAACCTGCAACTGAGATACATGCTGTGCCCTTGACCGGGAATCAAACCCAAACCTCTCGGTCCACAGGCTGATACTCTAACCGACTAGGGTTGAACTTACTCATTTTAACTAGCATTTTCCCTTATTGTAATTTTAGCCTTTCTCCTTATCAATTAATATTTTTTACAAATAGATTTTTCAATGGCAGTGGAGTGTTCTGTTGCATAGATGGACCATAACTTATGTTGCTGGACATTTAAACTGTTTCCAGTTTCTCTCTAATGGTCTGCTACAGACACCAGGCCAAAAGCTACTTATCATCACCCATGTTTTCATATCTATTTAGTCTTGTCACTGGCTTTCCTCTAGGACAGCGGTTCTCAACCTGTGGATCGCGACCCCTTTGGCGGTCGAACAACCCTTTCACAGAGGTCGCCTAAGACCATCCTGCATATCAGATATTTACATTGCAATTCATAACAGTAACAACATTACAGTTATGAAGTAGCAACGAAAATAATTTTATGGTTGGGTCACAACATGAGGAACTGTATTGAAAGGGCCAGAAGGTTGAGAACCACTGCTCTAGGACCATATGAGGTCCATCATTTCATTTAACCAAGACCCAGGGGCAAACCTGAAATTACTCAGGTCACCAGATTTGATGGTGACTTTGGCCATCTGATTCATACTGACAATTAGACAACTAGCTCTCAATTTTTAAGTTAATAAAGTAAAACAGAATTAAGTACATTCTTTTAAAAAAATATATTTCTTTATTGATTTCAGAAAGGAAGGGAGAAGGAGAGAGAGAGAGAAACATCAATGATGAGAGAGAATCATTGATCGGCTGCCTCCTGCACGCCCCCTACTGGGGATCGAGCCCGCAACCCAGGCATATGTCCTTGGCCAGAATCCAACCTGGGACCCTTCAGTGGCCAGAATCCAACCTGGGACCCTTCAGTCCGCAGGCTGACGCTCTATCCACTGAGCCAAGCCAGCTAGGGCTAAGTAAATTCTTTGTTTTATTTTATGTTATTTCTTTTTCCATCACCATTTATCCCTCCACCTACCAGTACTTTTTGAAGTGAAAAGTTTCTTCCCTGAGGATCTTAGGATGGCCCTCCCAGCTTAGTTTGCAAGCCCCTGCTGTGGTGTTTACACCAGCATGAAGTAAATGCTCAAGCCAGTTCTCACCCACTCCTCCTTTACACTCATTAGCAGATGTTACAGCTGGAGTCCAAAGCCTGTTGGTTAATGTCCATAGTATGAACTTAACCGTTTGTGAATTTTGTTGTTTTAGCCTACTTTTGTTGAGCATTCCTTTAACTTTTTTTGAGTGATTGTGGTATATCCAATATGCTGTGAGACACAGAGGGAGATTTAGAGGAAGAAAAAATATCCCATGACCTTGAGATTCTTACATTCTCCCTGAGAGGAAGAGGATGGTAATTAAGTACACATGGCACAACTAATTATTGCATGAAGATGGGCCAGATAACATGGCAGTAAGCCATCCACGTAAGAACTAAGACATTGGGGGGTGTCAGAGAGCTCAGGGCAGGGTGTGGTCAGCTAAGGAAGGCTTTGTTGTAGGACATGAGTTTGGATGAACTGCCTCTTATAGGCAGCAAGGAAATTGAAAGGGGTCAGCGGAAGCATGTTAGGTGGATGAGTAACAAAGGTGTCTGAGCAGAAGTGAGCAGTTGCTGTGTAAGGTAGAGCCAAAAGAATAAGTAGAATGGACAGACCATAGGGCTGTGCTAAGTACTCAAAGTGTAAAAGTTCCCTATCATATGCCATTATAACATGTAATAATTTATGTGGCTTTATTTAACCACTATTTCTAATTTTTCCTTTCTCTTTCTATAGTATATCATTCTTGTCATAGCGAAGAGAAGTGTCCGCCTTGTACTTTCCTAACTCAGAAATGGTGCATGGGCAAACATGAGGTAAGTTTTCTCTGTCATGTTCATTATTCCAGCCAGAGACTTATTTTTATTGAATTACTTTGAGTTGTTAGTCTCATTTTTTCTCAAAATTAATACTCCCAAGAAGCAGAGGTTTGCTATTGACACTTAAAAAAAAAAAATTAAGGTATGCCCTAGCTCAGTGATGGCGAACCTATGACACGTGTGTCAGAGGTTACACGCGAACTCATTTTTTTGGATGATTTTTCTTTGTTAAATGGCATTTAAATATATAAAATAAATATCAAAAATATAAGTCTTTGTTTTACTATAGTTGCAAATATCAAAAAATTTCTATATGTGACACGGCACCAGAGTTAAGTTAGGGTTTTTCAAAATGCTGACCTGCCGAGCTCAAAAGGTTCGCCATCACTGCCCTAGCTGGCTGGTTTGGCTCAGTGGATAGTGTCGGCCTGCAGACTGAAGGATCCCAGGTTCGATTCCGGTCAAGGGCATGTACCTTGGTAGCAGGTTCCCCAGCCCTGGTTGGGGTGTGTGCAGAAGGAACCAATCGGTGTGTCTCTCTCACATTGATGTTTCTCTCTGTCTTTCCCTCTCCCTTCAACTCTCTCTAAAAATCAATGGAAAAATATCCTTGGTTGAGGATTAACAGTAAAAAATATAAAAGGAAAAGGAAAAAAGTATATAAAAGTATATTAAGGTATGCTTTGCATAACTATATACTACACACACACACGAAATAACATCCTAAAGGGTAATGAGAATATAGCCAAGTCATTAGGGGAGGGGACAACAGGGGGCACTTAATGTGCAAAAATTACCTCCAGCACCCTGGTAGTAGAGTAGGAAAGTGTTTAATGATCAGGAACTATAATCTACCAAAATACTGATTCCAAAGTGTTACAAGCATGTACACCCTAGACTTCAGAGTCCTCTTCAAAAGTGATAATTATATGTCACTGGAGTCAAAGTATGTTTCTCATTTTGAGAATTCTTGAAAGAATTTGAGTGATTATATAAAAGTAACCTTTGGTTCCCTAGGAATACAATTTCTGCATCTTTTTCCTGGAGTGAGGAATCCTAGAAGGAGGCATTTCTAAGAAAAAATGAGTTGGGAGTTACAATGGCCAATTGACTTAATTTTTTAAATGACAGAGTTGTCTAAAGTTGTGGAGACTATGAGTTAGGAGATAGGAGGAGAGTTGAATATTTAATTATATGTAACAGTCCTGCCTTGGCCAGGTAGCTCAGTTGGTTAGAGTGTCATCCCAATATGCTAAGGTTGTGGGTTTGATTTCCTGTTCAAGGCACATACAAAAATCAACCAATGAATGCATAAATAAGTGGAATAACAAATATCTATCTCTCTCTCTCTCTCTTCCAAATCAATAAAAACACAACAACACACAAACAGCCCTACCAGCAGCTTGAAGCCATGGGCCATCAGTGCCCCAGCTCTCAGGATTTGTCTGTCAACTTAGTGCCCTAGGGAAAAGATTGTCTGATCCCCCAGTTGGTCACAGCATTTCAAATACTCCTAGTTATGTGGCTTCATATGCTTATTACCCACCTTGGGAAGTTTATATCCCAAGTCATACCTGGCTGTTCCCATATATCCTTTTGTATATTAACAAGCATTATTAAATAAGGTTCATATTTGTTTTTTAACTAAACTTTCAGACTTTGAAAAGTCGCCTAATTTTTTTCAGATAAAAATTACTTTTTGAAAAAAATGTTCTTGTCCAGCCAGCATGGTTCAATGGTTGAGCATCGACCTGTGAATCATGCCCAGGTTGTGAGCTTGATCCCCAGTGTGGGGCGTGCAGAAGGCAGCTTTCTCTTCATCATTGATGTTTCTATCTCTCCTACCCTCTCTGAAAACAATAAAAATATATTTTTTCAAAAAAAAAAAAAGAAAAGATGTTCTTTTTGAAAGTTTAGAAATGTCTAGATAGAAAGTTAAAACTCACCCCAAATCCCACATGGAGATGAAAAAAATCTGACTACTTCCTTCTCTCCTAGTTACGAAGCAACATCCCGTGTCACCTGGTTGATATCTCTTGCGGATTACCCTGCAGTGCTGCGCTACCGTGTGGGATGCACAGGTGTCAGAGACTCTGTCACAAAGGAGAGTGTCTTGTGGATGAGGCTTGCAAGCAGCCCTGCACCACCCCCAGAGCTGACTGTGGCCACCCCTGCATGGCACCCTGCCACCTCAGCTCACCCTGCCCCGTGACTGCTTGCAAAGCCAAGGTGTGTATTCCCAGCTCCAGGTGCAGCATAGACTCTGGTTCTCAGGCTGCTAATGAGTCTAGAACTGCCTGTAGCGGCACCTGGGCATGCACCTTATCAGAGGTCATTGGTTGCAAGAAACTGCAAGTTAAGTTAGCAAGAGAAAGGTGGAATAAATTGCATCGATTTCTGTCGGCCCACCTTGAAATGGCCTTTTAAATATATAAAGGTCTGTTTTGTGCAAGATGTTTTGCTAGGTGTTGGGACTATACCAGTGAATGGGAGACACATGATCCCTTCTGTTAGATGAGTCAGATAATTAATTACTCAATTAATTATGATTGGTGTCAAGAAGGAGTATTACACCCGTGTAGAGGGAGCTATGAGAGTATGTGAGACGGGGACTAACATGGTCTGAGGGATTAAGCAAGGCCCCCCTGAGGACGTGAAAGCAGTGGGATGAGGAATAGTTGGTTAGGCCTTGACTGGTTCTGGGTCAGATGTGTGTCTCTGGTTCAGTGGTAAAAACTCCATTCTATGCCTGTCCTTTCAGGTGGGGTTAAGGATAAGAGTAGTTCCCAGAAAGGGGCATCTCAGCTACCACTTAGATTGCAGTGAGGCTGACTTCCTCCATCTCGGAGGGCAGCCACTCACTGTCTCTCTCTTTGCCATGGTTTGATTTGAGAGAGGCTTTAAAAGGGAAAGCTGCCTATTCACATGGTTGCCATGTACTAAATGTCTCTCCATGTTAATCTTCTTTCAGATTGAGCTGCAGTGTGAATGTGGACGAAGAAAAGAGATCATGATTTGCTCTGAAGCATCCAGTACTTATCAAAGGTTAGTGCTACCTAAATGGTAACAATTGGTGGATCTAAGTAAAGGGAATACACGTGTTTATTGTAGGATCCTTGCAACTTTTGTAAAAGTTGGAAAGTTTTTAAGAAAATTTTCTTGAATTTCATTTTTCTGGTTCAAAGAAAAGGTTCTGCTTTATGTACCTTTCCTTCCTGAACTTTAATTTATAAAATAACCTCTTTATTTCTCCTCCTCCTTCTTCCCCTCTCTCTCCCTTTTGGTCTTATTACACCATGAAATCAGAAGGGAAGATGTCCTGAAGTTATTTTAATGCCCTACCAGTTGTGGTGGCACAGCTAGGACCAAGTCCTGTGTTCTTCCCCTGGGGTGGGGGTTTCTGACTGTCTTTGTAGCCTCCAGAAATCTTGGGACCCATGTGTTCACACAGGGATTTGAGTACAGAAGTGGAAGTGTTAGGAATGGATGGTTGTGTGCCATGGATACAGAGATGTGCCATGGAGATAGGACTTTAGGAGTATGCAGACTACAGAGAGTGGCAGTGTTGGGATACCCCCAGAGTCCCAGGCATTGCCCTGGATGTTCAAGGGAGCACTGAGGAGTGGATTGTCTCATAGTTTCCTGTGGAGCTAGCTGCTTGGAATCTGATTGAGAAGATATGCCATCAGCATGTAAGTAGTTTATAATAGATGGGTTTTCAGGTCACACAAATTGTTGAGTGATAGATATGCCTTGAAAGAAGTCTTCTGTGTGCCTAGTACAGTGATGGCGAACCTTTTGAGCTCGGCATGTCAGCATTTTGAAAAACCCTAACTTAACTCTGGTGCCGTGTCACATGTAGAAATTTTTTGATATTTGCAACCATAGTAAAACAAAGACTTATATTTTTGATATTTATTTTATATATTTAAATGCCATTTAACAAAGAAAAATCAACCAAAAAAATGAGTTCGCGTGTCACCTCTGACACACGTGTCATAGGTTTGCCATCACTGGCCTAGTATGAGGAGGTTCTTGTGAAACTGCAATGCCTTTTCTTTCCTTTCTTTTTTATACTTCAGAATAGCTGCTATTTCCATGGCCTCTAAAATAACAGACATGCAGCTTGGAGATTCAGTGGAGATCAGCAAGTTAATTACTAAGAAGGAAATTCACCAAGCCAGGTAATTTTTTTTTTTTTAATCTTCACCTGAGGATATTTTTCCATTGATTTTTAGAGAGAGTGGGAGAGAGAGGGAAGGACAGAGAGAAATCTTGATTTGAGAGAAACACATCAATTGGTTGCTTCCTGCACGCGCCCCAACCAGGGCCTGGGCCAGGGCCCAGGACGGGGAGGAGCCCTTGACCCCGGGACCCTTCGGTCTGCAAGCCGGCATTCTATCCACTGAGCCACACTGGCTAGAGCAAGCCAGGTAATTTAAAAATGTGTGGCTATGCCTTCTTTCTCCTATTAGGCTTAATTTCCAAAGGGCCAGAACAATTCATTTCTCAGTACCTCACAGAAAAGCCATGTACACAAAGGTATTCAACAAACCTTTAATATTAAGAGTTACACACAATCCAATCCAATGAATTCTACTCAGTGTATAGCTGAGCCTAGAAGAGACTTTTCCAGGCCTCACTCCAGCCAGTAGCCAGAGGAAGCAGAAGCGCCCGACCCACTGGAGAACAGAGAACCAGAGTGGTAGCTATGTCAGGAGGTGGAGGTGGGGCTGTCAGAGGGGTACTGGGAGCATTTTTGAGGACTGAGCAGGCAGGGGACACTCTGAGGCCCTTCTGAGGATTCCTCAATTTTCATAACTCAGAGGCCTGCCCACCCATCCTTGACAAGGACCTCATCCAGCCATCCTCTGGCCTAGAGTCTGCTCTGTTTCCAGGTTGACTAATAACTAAGATCTTATTACTAGCTAGAAACTTTGAAACCTGTGCCCTGACTTTTTTTTTTTTCATTTACTTCCCAAGGCTGGAATGTGATGAGGAGTGTTCAGCCTTAGAAAGGAAAAAGTAAGTAATGTCAACTGCTGTTCACCTAATTGTCCTTAAGCTCTGTGAAACTAGTGGGAGGAAGCGACCCTTCAACATTCACTCGCTCCTGCTCTGCGTATTTTCCTGCTATTGGAGAGCAAGAGAAATTTGATCATCAAGAATTGAAGTATCTAAGGATAAAGTACTTAACGCGATTTCAGCATATTTCTGAAACATGAGCTCGTATGGTTTCGGGCACGGTATAAACATCACATGCACAGCATGCTTATCCATGACTAGCAGACTTCCTGATTCCACTGGAGAAAAGAGGCTTAAAATTATTATTTTTTTTTTTGAGGCTTAAAATTTTTTAGTGAACTTATATGTTGAAGTATAATATATATGTAGAAGATCAGAAGTATATAGATCAGTGAGTCATCACAAAGTAAATACAGTGTTATAATCAGCACCAGGTCAAGAAATGGAAAATTGCCAGAATCCTCTCTGTACTCCACAGAGATATATAACCTCTTATTCTGACTTCTGACACTTTAGTTTAGTTTTGTCTGTTTTTGAAATTTATATAAATGATGAAATCATATAGCTTGCATTAGTTTTGTCTGGCTTCTTTCATTACATTTGTGACATTCATCCCTGTTGTTGCATCTAGCAGTACTTTGTTCACTTTCATTCCCACTTATTTTATTGTATCAATATATCATAATCTTTTCTACCATTAATAGATATCTGTGTTATCAGCATTGGGCTATTACAAATAATGTTCTGTAAAAAACATTCTTGGTTTGGTGCATACATGTATTTGTTTCTATTGAATATAAACCTAGGAGTAGAATTGCTTATTAACCCTTTGAGTGCCAACCAGTATCCTAGGAACTATGCTAAAATTGCCAAGGCATTTTTGCTGATTTTACAGCAGTTTAGGAAAAAAATTATGAATCGCAAGTAAATGAAGTTACATATTCAAAAACTTAAGGAAACCTTTACTACATTTTGTTTTCATCTTTGACATATATTGTTTGCTGATTGTATTATAAAATACTAGTAGAAAAAAAATTTGAACAAAACATATAATGTTAAAGCGCTCCCGGCACTTTTGGCGAAAGACAGGAGGAGCGCGATCGCGCTCCCCGGCACTCTAGGGATTAATAGGGTATGCATATGTTCAGCTTTATTCATTTCTGCCAAACAGTGTCCAAAATGGTTGTACCAATTACACTCTCACCAGCAGGGTCATAGTTCTTATTGCTTCTTTTTTTTTTTTTTAAATTCTCACCTGAGAATATTTTTTTCATTGATCTTTAGAGAGAGAGTGGAAGGGAGGGAGGAGGGGGAGAGAGAGGGAAACATTGATGTGAGAGAGACATATCAACTGGTTGCCTCCCACATGTGCCCAACCAGGACATGGAATCTAACCTGCAACCGAGGTACGTGCCCTTGACCCTTGGTTCGAGGGCCAACGCTCTAACCACTGAGGAAAACTGGCCAGGGCTGCTCTACATTTTTGTTAGCTCCTAGAATTGTCAGTATTTTTACTTTAATCCATTCCTCATGGATGTATAGCCTGCTGTTAATGAGCTTTTAACTTATATTTACCTGATGACCAGTGAAATTGAGACCTTTTCCTATGTTTATTAGTCATTTGGATGTTGTCTTTTATGAAGTGCCTACTCAAGTCTTTTACATAGTTTTAAGTTGTGTTGTCTGGCTTTTTTCATATTGTTTAGTAGGAGTTCTTTATATATTTTGGATATGAGACCTTTGTTGGTTTTATATATTGTATTTTTTCATACTTCCTGCCTTTTCACTCTCTTCATGGTATCTTGATAAACAGAAGTTTCTTTTTTTTTAAATATATTTTATTGATTTTTTACAGAGAGGAAGGGAGAGGGATAGAGAGTTAGAAACATTGATGAGAGAAAAACATTGATCAGCTGCCTCCTGCACACCCCGCACTGGGGATGTGCCCGCAACCAAGGTACATGCCCTTGACCGGAATCGAACCTGGGACCCTTCAGTCCGCAGGCCGACGCTCTATCCACTGAGCCAAACCGGTTAGGGCAAACAGAAGTTTCTAATGTTAAGGTAGTCCAGTTTATCAGTCTTTTCCTTAATGAGTAGGGCTTTTTATGTCCTATTTAAGAAATATTTGTCTGTCTCCGGTCATGATGACATTCTTTGTTACTGTCTAGAAGCTGTATTATTTTACCTTTAACATTTAGAACTATAGTTGACCTAGACTGATTTGATGATCATGGTATATGAGGAGGGGTGGTCATAATTCAGTGTTTTTTCATATGAATATTCATTTGACCAGTACCATTTAACAAGACATTCTTTTTTCAGTGCTCTGTAGTGCTACCTTTATTTTATTTAATGAGGGATGAGATTTAAGTAAATTTCGGGATATACATAGTTAGAAGATTATGCATTATTAAAACAGTATGTGTGAAAACTAAACAGTAATATGAGAAAAGCTAATCACATAATGATAGGGGAGAAAAAGAGGCAAAGTTTTATATGCACTGATTGCATTGTATTTATTGGGAGGGAAATCTAAAAGGAAATGTACAAAAATGCAGTGCTTATGTTGTTAACAGGATTATTTTCCAGACTTCTATAATGTGATGTTAATTTTAATATTTATAGGTCTACTTAATGTTTAGGTGAAATCTCATCCCTCATTGACTGTTTCCAGTACTCTCAAACCCCCAGCCTTCTTTTCACCAAAAAATCTAAGTCCCCAATGTTATCCTGTGGCTTGCTTGGACCCACATAGATCTGTCTTGTTTATTTTCTTCTATGAAGACAATACTATATTTTGTCCCAAGTTGTTACTATTCTTTCCTTAATAATCGGGTTTACCAAAATGAGATCATCCTATATAATAAAAGCGTAGTATGCAAATTGTCCTGGTCGAATTTCCAGGAGGTCTTCTGGGAGTTCGACCAGGGGGCGGGGCCGTCAGGGGGAAGGGAGGGCGGCCGGCAGCTGCTAAGGACCCTACCAGTGCACACATTTTATGCATGCACTGGGCCTCTAGTTAATGTATAAAGAACTTGGGACATGGTGAGCACTTTGTGTTACTATAAGATAGTTTCCCCCTCCTTTCCTTTTATTTACATATTCTTCTCTTATTTTTAGGCAGTTAGCAGAGGCATTTCATATCAGTGATGATTCTGATCCTTTCAATGTACGTTCTTCAGCATCAAAATTTAGTGACAGTTTGAAAGAAGATGCCAGGTATGTAACTTGTTACCGACTTTCTTGATTGTGGCTTAAAGAATGTTTGGTCTTTTAAGATAGAACTAATATGTACTCCTGTGATTGAGCGAGTTAAAGTTTATATATCTATTACAGGATATTATATGATGTTTAATAAAAATCCTTCTCTTGGTTTCTCAGAACTATCCCTTGAAGAATTGAACTGTGTGTGTGTGTGTCCGTCCGTGTGTCCCCTATGGCAGGTGTTTGGGCCTCCTCAGGGCTGGACTAGCCTAAACACTGGCCAAATGCCAACTCTGTCCACCCAGGTCTCAGTCACATGGGGCCTCACTTGGGCAGTAACAGCTCTTATTGTCCACTTATCTCCTAGCCCTCTGATGGCTATTTCTTCTTCCATCTTCTCCTTTCTCATATTTGTTTTCTCTTTCTTAGTTCAGTAATAATCAACATTCTGTTATCTGACAATTCCTGACCTCTGCAGTTTTTTTGCTCACATTGTCCATTATAGTTCATTTAGTTCACTTACCCTCTGTCCCCACTTTATAGGCAGAAAGGGTGGGCAGGAGGGATTTTCAAAGAGCAGAAACAGATGAAGTTAACTGTCATGATTTCTCATTTCAGGAAGGACCTAAAGTTTGTCAGTGACGTTGAGAAGGAAATGAAAGCCCTTGTGGAAGCCGTGGATAAGGTTGAAGTCAAAACATACCATTGGACATATCTCTGAGGCCAGCTTGATAAAAAATCAAGTCCCAGAAACACTCTTGGTATAGAGTAGTTGTAGAAAAGTCACAACTTCCTTTTAAGGATTCTTGCCTTTCCCAAAAGCCCAGCCATAATAATATCCACAGAACCCCTGTCCTGGTTTAGGAAAGATATCTGCAGTAAAATTACATGTAAATAAACATCCTAGTTCATTGCCTAAGGGTGGGTGAAGAAACCTGGACGAGGGCTTTCAATAGTGATAGTTGAAAGACTATGTGAGATACTTAGGGAGACGTGCTGGGCCCTCAGATCTCTGAAGGGCTGTTGTATAATAGGACACACTAGTTCTTTATTACTCCAAAAGCAGAAAAGAAATCCTTGGGTAAAAGTAAAAAGATGGCTGACTAGAGCTGAAGAGTAACGGCATAGACTTTTTTAGGAGTCTCAGGCGTGTGAGGCCTCACCCAGCCGGCATGGCTCAGTGTTTGAGTGTCGACCTATGAACCAGGAGGTCACCGTTTGATTCCTGGTCAGGGCACATGCCTGGGTTGCGGGCTTGATCCCCAGTGTGGGGCATGCAGGAGGCAGCCAATGATTCTCTCATCGATGTTTCTATCTCTTCATCTCCCTTCCTTTGAAATCAATAAAAAAAAATTTTTTTTTAAAAGAGAGAGTGAGGCCTCTCTCCTGGAGGCAGCCAGGGATGTTGAGGAGGTAGCTTGAAGCAAAAGAAGTCTTTAGTCAGAAGCAGCCAGCTACACAGTGGCTTCCTCTTCGTTCAGTGGGGACTCAAAGTGAGGATGAGATGCTTTAGCTTCATATCTAATGAAGTTTTCCTTCCCACCATCTGTCTTGCCCCCTTCCATTCCTCCCTTTGTTCTCACTTCCCAGCAGGATACTAACACAAAGGAGGAAATGGAATAATCGTTCCTCTTCTAATTAGGAAACCTGAGCAAATGTATTTTTCTTTTTTCTTTTTGGTATGTTTTTATTGATTTCAGAGAGGAAGGAAGAGAGAGAGATCAAAACATCAATGACGTGAGAGAATCATTGATTGGCTGCCTCCGGCATGGCTGCCCCAGTGGGGTCAAGCCTGCAACCCAGGCATGTGCCCTGAATGGGAATCTGTGACCTCCTGGTTCATAGGTCGATGCTCCACCACTGAGCCACACTGGCTGGGCCTGAGCAAATGTATTTTTCTGCTTGGGTGTCTGTATCTGCATATAAATGATTTTTACTGCAGAAGGTACTTTTTTAGGAAGTGAGATTTTCTTGTTTTGTAAGTCTTATGTTTATTTAGTCATTTCTTGGGATTATCACCCTCTCCACACTTATAGGCCGCCTCAGGAGAAGCCAATCACTGTCTAAGTCTTAGTTCACTTACCTTTGTCCCTCACCTGGGCAGCTACTACTGTGTGGCTGACAGTAGATGAAGTGCATCAGCCCTCATCCTCCCAAACTGCTGTCCTTGTTTGGCAGTCAGTGAAGTGCTGTGCACTGTAGGCCTCTAAAACTCAGCTGCCTCTCTATTGACCCAGGCTGTTCTGGTGTGGGGGGAAGGAACTTTGTAAGCATATTTGGATTCCAAGATAATTTATCACTCATTCTCTTTTCCCGTAATATAGGGAAAGAACAACAAGAAGAGCCACTTCTTCCCTCCTATGAACAGAGACCATCGCCGGATCATCCACGAACTGGCCCAAGTGTACGGCCTGGAGAGCGTGAGCTATGACAGTGAACCGAAGCGCAATGTCGTAGTCATTGCAGTCAGGTGGGTTGGTCTCGCCATCATAGGAGGAACTGCTTGGTGGAGCAAACTGGACCCGGGAAGCAGTCTGTCAGTGTTTGCTTTCCTACTTCCTCTCCTGGAAGAATAGTTCTCCTTCTGGACAGCCACTCTGAGGTGATCTAAAAGTCCATTCAGAGAGCCAAAGCTTCAATCCACAGAACAGACCCACCTAAAGAATACAAGCCTCATGTCTGCCCAGATCCACATCGGTCACTGGAAGCAGCATTCCTCAGGCTGAGGGAGCAGACCCTGAGGGCCTGGGTTGGGGGCCTGCCCATCACATCTGTCCCTTTTTCCCTTCTGGCATGATGGAAACAGAAAGAATGCTGCACTGTGACTCAGCATTTGCCATTAGAGGAAACGGGGGCAGTAATGTGTGACACAGGAGGGGACAAGGAGGATCTAGGATTAAGTGTCAGATGAGAATAAGCAGGTAACGGTGGTGGAAGGGACGATGGTTAAATGAAGGTGACCATGCCTGAGCGGAGACAGTCATATCAGAGAGTGCTCAGCAACATCATAGCGTCATGGACGGGATTTCTAGCTGTCTGCCTGTCTCCACAAAAAATTCTCACTTCTTAATATTTTGTGTTCTTTTATCAGAGGGAAGTCTGTTTGTCCAACTACCACGTTGACAAGTGTACTTGAAAAGGAAATGCAGGCACGGCCTCCACCCCCAATTCCTCATCACAGACAGACAGACAAGTAAGGATTGTTCAGCTGCTTTCCAAAGGGTCCTGGCTGTTCAGAGAAGCTAGCAGGGCTGAGCTATCCTGGGCTGCCCCAGCCATTGGTGGCTTCTTCAGGCCTGGCCTTGGGGTTCCATGTTCAAATATATAAGGTTTGACTGGATGTCAGACACATTTATCATGCTAGAGAGGTTCCCATTTGATGTTTGCTATGCCCACTTCCCCTCCAGGAAGATCAGTTATGATGTAATTTCCATGGTGTAGCTGGAGACACTGGAAAGTGGATTCAGCCTGTCACACCAGATGATTTAGGAACATCATGCAGTTTACAACAGTTACTCTGGATGGAAGTGAGATTGGTGTGGGGAGTTGGCAGGAAAGAGGGGGTCTTTCATGTTTTGCTCTACTTTCATACGATTTGAGTCATTTTTACAACAAAAACATGCATTCATAATTTAAAGAGAAAAAACCACATTGGAAAAAAAAAAAAAGAAAACCACATTGGCAAGCAACCGCAAGTCTACCAGGTGTTCTCTCAGGAGCAAGGAGAGCACTGTCCCTCCCCCTCTCCCTGGCAGAGGGAGGCTGGCTGCCTTACTGTGATGAAGCAGTGTTGTTGAAAGTTGCTCTGAAACCCATAGGGCTCCTGCTGCTGTTCTGGCCTTCCACACAGAAGCCCTGGCAGTACCTCCTACACAAAACCTCTGGGAACATGGGTAGAGCAGTTTACAGGGTCAACATAAGGGTCATAGCAACCGCTGTTCCCCTGGGACAGACAGAGCAGCTGGGTGCTGCCCATTGGACACAGCCCCAGCAGGAGCGTCTGGGGCCATGTAGCCCCCAGTGTCAGTCCCAATCATCACTGGGAAGTAGGTGGCCTAGATTCCAGTCAGCGCAGATTGCTGTCTACATGGGCAGTGGTTTTGGAAACAGGTGGAGTATTTTACATACTATTCCTCCAGTACCACCTGGGCATAACCATGTGTAGTCATTGGCCTGTTTATGCCATGCTGTCTTTTTTTCCCCCCTTTGCTTGCTTAATTTTTATATAAAACTGTGTTGTTGAAAATTTTTAGAATAGAGAAAATAGTATTAATATAATAAACCCCCATGCACCCATCACCAAATTTCTGCTCATGCAGACCCTGCTTTTTTTTTTTTAATATATTTTTATTGATTTCAGAGAGGAAGGAAGAGGGAAAGAAAGATAGAAACATCATGATGAGAGAGAATCATTGATCAGTTGCCTCCTGCATGCCCCCTACTCGGGATCAAGCCCGCAACACAGGCATGTGCTCTTGACAGGAATCGAACCTGGGACTCTTCAGTCCACAGGCCGACACTTTGTCCACTGAGCCAAACCAGCTAGGGCTCTGTTATCAGAGTTTCACAAATGATAAATCACCCAATCCTTAACTTTCTAAAGACCTGAATCTGGGTTCCCCCAGAAAGAAAAGATGGATTATTCTTTTGTTTGCTTTTCAGGAATCCTGGGAGCAATAATTTACAGAAGATAGAAAAGGAGGCGGTAATTGACTACTTTGATGTCCAGGACTGAGAAGCTCAAGATGCACTTAGATGAAAGAATGATTAGGTGGGGATTCATTTGCCAGCAGATAAATCATGCTTATTCCCAACTTCCTGGTGGACTTACAGCCTCTCATACTGTCTTGTATTGATACGTTCAAAGCATGAGTGTGTCAGAAATCCCCTGTCCTCTGATCCCTCTGTATGAAGTGTCTTTGTGCAGCCAGATGCTGGCTGCACGGTCACTAGAGATTCAGTCATGTATTTGCAGAAGCTCCTCACACCTTCACTGTGATTGCTCAGAGGCTTAGGACATTGGGACTTGATTTGGACAAACCAGAATATTAGCCTGAAACCCCCTTTATGACACTTAGTCATAGCCTCAGTTATCCCAGTTATCCATCCATCTCCTGAAAATGCCTGCGACATTAGATGTACCTCGCTTTCTTAATCCAGATTGATCACAGACACAAGCAAACTTCTCAGTCTGAAATGTCAAACATTGAATTTGATACACTATATCCAGAATCACATGTGTTATGTTGAACCCAGCTATCTTATGTCAGTCTTTTGCCAAAAACTGTCATAGATATATCTAGTTGAGCTTATTTTAATGGTTCTCAGTACTATTAGTTCTAGACCTAGCAGAGAAGTTGGGTGGCTTTAAAGAATTCCATGTTTTAGACTCCAGGGAGCACCTCATACCACATCACTGAGCGTGTCTGGTGACAGTCACTTCAGCAATCCACCATGATGGCCGAGAACAAGCTGCTCCTGCCACGTTCACACTGTGGCCTCAATGTATGACCAGAGTAGCCCCAAAACCTTCTCTCTGGCTGAGAAAGAGTCTCAGGTAGACTTATCTTGCCTGTGTTGCTTTCTCCCAGGCCTTCAGCAGCCATATTAGCTCTCCCTATGTCTGAGCGCCGAACTTCTGTTTGAATAGTCAGAAAAGTATGTGGACAGTCCAGGGCTTATCTCAGCAGCCCCTGGAGGCGTACTTCAAGCTCCTTTAAGGCAGGTGCATTACCAGTTATATTACCAGTTTGGCCCTCCCCATTGGCACCCTCAGCACAGAGGCCAAACTTCCAACTTCCTTCTGCTCCAAAACAAGCCACAAGCCCAGAGCAACAGGAGATTTGAGAAATGACTTTACAAAACTAGCACTTAATTTTCACAGAGCAGGGCTAGCCTTTGGTCCAACCCAGACAATCTGCCTTGAAAAGCATCAGGTACAGCTGTGGGAACAGAAAATTGGAGGAAAGAGATGATCTGTAAAACCACCTTATGTGGGCCCATTTAGCACAGGTTCAGTGGCCCTATACCCAACAGGAAGCCCACAGGCAACTGTTACATCTTTTAATCAGTGGGTTTAGTGGGTGAACTGTACATTGAGAGCATCTCAGAATCAGCAGGAGGCAGGAAACCTGATTTCAGATTCCAGCTGTCATATAACAACTTGCCACTTGGTGGAATGGAGGTATCAAACTACCTCACCAGGGTGGTGGTGATTAAATGAGATAACATAGGTAGAGGTACCTAATCTATCATAGGTGCTGAACGTTTATAAAAATTATACTTGATATCTGGAAAATATGTCAGCATCTTTAGTCTCCATAATACTAGCCAAGTAAAAGGTTAGAGTGCTGAGCATGCCTCTTCAGGTGAATACTTGTGTGCCTACTTAGCACCAGCCTTGTACTAGGGCTGTGGGGAGCAGATGTGGCCTGTTCTTTAGTTAGTAATCCAGTAGGGGACACATACCTGAATATATATAGTGGAATGGGTTGGTCTGGCAGAAATCGTTCATTAGTCTTATTAAAAGCTGAAGTGTTATACGAGGAGTTTTTTGTGGATGGTAGGACTGGGTTAGCTTTCATGTTGGGAGAAGGACCTCTGGTGGGGAAGAGAAACAGGAGGAAGCATTTGAGCTGCTTCTAGAGATAGCAGACTGCCATATGGAGAAGTATGCCAAGTGAAGGTAAAGGGCATGAGGCAAGCCCAGGTGTATGGCTTGTGGTGGGTTTGAGGAAGGGATCTCCCAGAGTGGGCAGACAACTGGAAGTACAGGTGATGAAGCTGAAAGTGTAGGCTGGTCAACTTGAGAGCCATGGGGGATTCTAAGAGAACAGCTCGGCTGGATTCATGATCTAGAGCTGGAGCCAGCAAACATTTTCTGTAAAGGGCCAGATAATAAATATTTGAGGCTTAGAACTGTAGAGTTTCTGTTGCAGCTACCATTGTACAACTCTGCCATTGTAGTGTGAAAGCAGCCACAGACAATACACAAGTGAGTATTAGAACTCCATTCTAATAACAATTTTATAAAATCAGAATCGCATGTCATTTTTACGTCACAACATATTGTTCTTTTGCCTAACCTTTTAAAAATGTGAAAACTATTGTTAGCTTGTGGGTTGTACAAAAACAACAGGTGTGGCCATGGACTTTGTTTGTCAAGGGATAACAGGTAAGAGGCCCAGCTGAGAGCTCTGGGAGCGATCCAAGTGAGAGGATAAGGGTGGTGGGAACTGGTACTGCAAAGGGGAAGAGATTTCAGGAGATCCAGGGGGTAGGATAGGATGCCGGGGAGCAGCAGAGAGCCGGCCCCCGCATCGCCAAAGGGACCCCGACCCCCTCAGCAAAAAAGCTGCTTCTCATTCTCCAATGAGCAGTGGCTTTGGACAAGACCACATGAATGTGGACCAAAGGAAAAGATATCCCTCCACCCCATACATAGAGCCTGTGGGGACCAAGACTCCTCGCTTACGCCCCAAGAATCGGGTGTATCTTTGCTCCCCCCTCTAGCTTCACACTCTCCAGCAGGAGTTTGCTTATGGGGCCAGAGCTTTCCAGAAATCAAGTCCTTATCTCTGGAATTCCCTCTGGCAGAGCTGACTCCTCTCAATAGCGTGCAGTAGGGGGTTGTGTGTGGGACTGGAGATGAAAGCCGCCCTCCAGGTTGCAGGTCTGTTTGAAGCACCTCTGGATGGTGTCCTGGACAGGACCAGCCAGGCCTCAGCGGGGAGAGAGGGGGCGGTGTTAGGTCTTGTGAGGGAGGTGCAAAGTTTCAAACCAAAGGTCCTGAGATTTAGGTTTGGCCTGTCCTTCACACATGGTGCCAGTCTTTGTGCTTCATGACTAAAAGCCTGGAGACTATTCTCTAAGGAGAACCTGCTGCTATGCCACCTCTGCCACACTCATCAGGCAAATTCTCCCAAACTCCCCACATGACCCCAGCACAAATGTCCCCTACCATCTCATGAGGCCTTTTAGAGCTCACAATTCCCCAGGGCATTCTCTAAGCCCATCCAGCCCCTGTCTACAAAGGCCCAGACCGAAGAAACAAGGCTCCATGGGATCTCACTTGTGTGTGCCAAGCCAGGACTGGATATCCAGGCCTTGGGTTTCCCAACATAGAGCTGCCCTAGGCCAGGAGGGTCCTGAGTCTTCAGGATAAGGTGCATCATCTTTCCCAAACAATTGCCTGGGCATATTCCCAGTGGCCCGGGCTGCCCTCACCACAGGCTTCATGCTGCACAGCCTCCTGGGAGACCTGGGTGCAGAGAGCCCAGCTGAACTGCTAGGATGCCCAGTTGGCTGCCTCAGCTCTCTGTGTGACTCCAGGCATTTTGCTTCCAGTGTCTGGGCATTGGTCTCCCCATCTGTCGGGTGGGTAATAGTTCCTCCTTGTACACTGCCCAGAGCCATTGGGAGGGTCGTGGGGAGACAGGGTCTTAGAGGTCGGAGAGTCTGCCAGTGTCGTTTGGCATCTCAGCACAGTCACATCTCTGGAGCCTGTCCCAGGACTGTCTCAAGTGCAGCTCAGTTAGGGGGAAGGAACAGAGCAGTCGCTAAGTTGCTCTGATAGGGGCTGAGGCTTTCAGACGCACACACACCCCCTTACCCCACACACACCCCAAGTCTGACACCTGGGTGAAGAAGTCAGAAGTCCTTATGTACCCACACTTTCCCAAGTATCTCTTCTGAGCTCATAATATGCACTAAGCATAGTGTTCATATTTTACTCCTCAAAGCCCCATGAGGTAGCTATTCTTATTATCCCCATTTCACTAGTATACTCTGAGTAGTGGGGTAACCCAAGATCACTCAGTTAACAACTGGAGATCTAATATTCCTGCTAGGTCTGACTCCAAGACCTGTGTCCTCTCCGCTACACAGAGCAGTGGCAGCTCACACTGGAGGCCCTGGGATTGCCTGACCCATGAGGTCAAGACAAGAAAGTTTACACTGTACAAATGCTGAGAACACCAGCAACTCCCCCGCCCACAACAGAGGGGTTTTCCTATAATGGCCATGAGAGGGCAGTATATATTCTCAGCCTGGGGATGGTGTGGGGGAGTGTTTTACACTTTGCCTCATGAAAGCTCTTTAAAACTTTTTAGAAGAGTTTATTAGCTTGAATGTATCACGTTTTCATTTTTTAATTTGTTTTTTATTCTTGAGAGTATTACAGATGTCCCCCATCCCCCCTTTTTTTTTTGCTAACTCCCACCCTACTCCAGGCCTTCACAGCACTATTATCTGTGTCCATTGGCTATGCATACATGCATATAAATTCTTTGGTTAATCTTCACACCCCCACCACCTTCCCTCTGAGATCTATCAGTCTGTTCCGTGCATCCATGTCTCTGGACCTGTTTTGTTCATCAGTTTATTTTGTTCATTAGATTCTACATATAAGTGAGATCATGTGATATTTGTCTTTCTCTGAGTGGCTTATTTTGCTTAGCATAATATTCTCCAAGTCTATCCATACTGTTGCAAAGGGTAAGAGATTCCTTCTTTTTACATCCATGTAGTATTCCATTGTGTAAATGTACCACAGCTTTTTTATACATTCATCTACTGATGGGCACTTGGCTGTTTCCAGATCTAGCTATTGTAAATAATGCTGCTATGAACATAGGGGTGCATATGTTCTTGCTGATTGGTGTTTCTGGTTTCTTGGGATATATTCCCAGAAGTGGGATCTCTGGGTCAAATGGCAGTTCCATTTTTAATATTTTGAGGAAACCTGCATACTGTTTCCACAGTGACTGTACTGGTCTGCATTCCCACCAGCAGTGTACTGTGGTCCTTTTCTGCACATCCTCACCAGCACTTACTGTTTGTTGATTTATTGATGGTAGCCATTCTGGCAGGTGTGAGATGATATCTCATTGTAGTTTTAATTTGCATCTCTCTGATAATTAGCGATATTGAGCATTTTTTCATGTCTCTTGGCCATCTGTATGTCCTCTGGAGATTATCTGTTTAGGTCCTTTGCCCATTTTAAAATTGGATTGTCTTCCTTTGTTGAGTTATATGAGTTCTTTATATATTTTGGAAATTAACCCCTTATCAGATGTATCATTGGCAAGTATGTTCTCCCATACAGTAGGTTCCCTTTTCATTTTGATGGTGGCTTCTTTTGCTGTGTAGAAGCTTTTTGGTTTGATGTAGTCCCATTTGTTTATTTTTTTACTTTATTTCTCTTGCCCTAGGAGATATATCAGCAAAAATTCTGCTAAGTGAGATGTAAGTGATTTTATTGTCTATGTTTTCTTCTAGGATGTTTATGGTTTCAGTCACATACACACACATATCCTTACATTTAAGTATTTTATCCATTTTGAGTTTATTCTTCTATCTGGGTAAGTTAGTGGTCTAGTTTCATTACTTAGCATGTACCTGTCCAATTTTCCCAACACCATTTATTTGAAAAGACTGTTTCTACTCCATTGTATGCTCTTGCCTCCTTTGTCAAATACTAATTGACAATAATGATATGGGTCGATTACTTGGGTCTCTGATTTATATCCCTGTTCTTGTGCCAGTACCAGGCTGTTTTTTATTACAGTGGCTTTGTAGTATAGTTTGATATAATGCTTCCACTTGTTCGTATCTTCCTCTGTTTCTTATTTCAGTGTCCTATAGTTTTCTGAGTAGGTCTTTTACTTCCTTGATTAAGGTATCTTATTTTTGTTGTTGCACTGGTAAATGGGATTAATTTTTTAGTTTCTCTTTTCTGAAAGTTCATTATTAGTGTATAAAAATGTCATTGATTTCTGGATGTTAATTTTCTATCCTGCTACTTTGTTGAATTCATTTATTAAATCTACGAGTTTTTTGATGGAGTCTTTAGAGTTTTCTATATACAATATTATGTCATCTACAAATGATAGTTTTACTTCCTCCTTTCCAATTTGTATGCCTTTTATTTTTTCTCCTTGTTTGATCAGTGTGGGTAGGACTTCCAGTATTATGTTGAATAAGAGTGGTGAAAGCAGACATCCCTGTCTTGTTCCTGTTCTTAAGGGAAACGCTTTTAGTTTTTGCCCATGTGATGTTAGCTATAGGGTTGTCATATATGGCCTTTATTATGTTCAGGTATGTTCCCTCTATTACCTCTTTGCTGAGAATTTTTATCAGAAATGGGGGTTGGATTTTGTCAAATGCTTTTTCTGCCTCAATTGATATGATCATGTGATTTTTGTCTTCCAGTCTGTTTATGTGATGTGTCACATTTATTGATTTATTAATATTGTTCTGCCTTGCATCCCCAGAATAAATCCCACTTGCTCATAGAACATATTTTTAATGTATTGCTGGATCTGATTTGCTAATATTTTATTGAGGATTTTAGCATCTGTGTTCATCAGGGAATGACCTGTAATTTTCTTTCTTTGTAGTGTCTTTATCTGGTTTTGGAATTAGGTTAATGCTGGTCTTGTGAAAAGAGCTTGGAAGTCTTCCCTTCTTTTGAAATTTTTGGAATAGTTTGAGGACAATACAAGTAGGTATTAGTTCTTTGAGTGTTTGGTAAAACTCTCCTGTGAAGCCATCCGGTCCAGGACTTCTGTTTGCTGAGAGTTTTTTTAAATTACTGTTTCAATTTCATTAGTAGTTATGGGCCTGTTTAGGTTTTCTGATTCTTCCTGAGTTTTGGGAGATCTTATGTTTCCAGAAATTTGTCCATTTTACCCAGGTTGTCCAGTTTGTTGGCATATAGTTGTGTAGTATTTTCTTAACAATCATTTGCATTTCTGTGGTGTCAGTTGTTATTTCACCTCTTTCATTTCTGATTTTATTTATTTGGATCCTCTTTCTTGCAGAGAGAACCAGTATTTAAAAAAAAAAAAGCCAGCTGGTGTGGCTCAGTGGTTGAGGTCACTGGTTTGATTATTGGTTGTGGCACATGCCCAGGTTGTGGGCTCGATCCCCAGTAGGGCGCATGCAGGAGGCAGCTGATTGATGTTTCCCTCTCATCAATGTTTCCTTTTTTCTCAGGTCAAAAACTCTGAAGTTACTCTGTAAAAAAATCAATAAA